TTGCGCAATTAAAGAGAATCGGAAAGAGGCCTTCCCAACAGGGGGTGTTCTCTTCGTGCACCAGTAGCCAAGAAACACAAAAATAAATTTGAAATGAGAAACTTATTAACATTCATCACTATTGAAAAACGTTTTGCCTCTCTCAATCGCCATCCTTTTGCTAATCAGGAAGTTAACTAAGTGACAATTTAAACAGCATTTCAAAAGCAATAATCGAGGTCTTGGTTATCTGACATGTTCAGCCGTATATCTACTTATCACCGTGAGACAGTTCTCCGAAGAATGCAAAGGTTTCCAAACCATGAACCGAAACAACGGCTTACTAGAGATTAGAAAACACTGGGGTTAAAGATCGCGGGAGAATCAGCTTAGCCAATACCCAAGGAATCAACATGTTTACCCTTCCCTTCCAAGATCATGTTTACAAAATAATAAAAATCTTTTCGTGTGATTTAAGAATTAATCGGTTATGTGAAAATGGCTAGATTGAAGATCATCAGCTGCTAAAATTGGAAAACCCTCGAAGTTTATGAGCGGTTGATAACAAAATAAATTGCCTAAAATTGATAAAAGAAAAGCCAGGAAAAGTCGGCGCGGTTCTTTAGATAATAAGAGTCTTTCAAAGAATGATTTTTTCTGTTACATGATTATCTAGATCATTCAGAAGTATCGGACATCCAAATCATTCAAAAAATGAATTATATAAAACAATCTTACCCGTGATGACGTAGGTAGTGTCTATTTGCTTTGACTTCACGCGACTTTTCGTCACTGTGTGTTCTCCAGTTCCACGAACGGTTGAGATTGAATTCGATTTGTGCGAAGTTGCCTCAGTCAAGGTGTTCTTTTGGGACACTTGCTTGGTGTGCATTGAGGTTTTGATCACGTGCGATTGCGATAAAGAGGTTGTGTGCTTCTTTGTGTTGACTGTTGTTGGAGGCACTAGGAAAGCAGGAAGCACACAGTCAGATAAATCTTCGCTTACAATCTTTTTATACGTAATAGGGCTAACTCGATTTCTGTCAAAAGATGTATTGGTAGGAGCCATCATCTTACGTTGCATCAGAGCTACGATATTTGGTACACTTTAAAACTAGGTGAAACCAAGGTTATGGGCTGGGCTTTTTGCAGTAATTATAAGTCTGGAAGTTACAAAATACGTTATAAAAGAGAATTGAATGAAACAAGCCCAAGTCATGCTGCAAATATAGATTGCTTCTGTAGGCCCCTTTCTTTCGGTGATTGCTAATAGAGCAGAGAAATAGGAATATAGCAGAAATGTTGCCATAATTTCAAGGTTCCGTTCCACTGTTCAAAGGGTTCCCACTATCACCCGCATGCTAAACGATCTTTGCTATGGCAAGGATGATAAGAAAATTCAAAAGGCAAATGTCTTCTCATCCATAATCATAAAAACGAAATTCTTTCTAATTTCTGTAAGAAATCTTATTGCAACAGATTAAAATTAACAGTGAAAATAGAACTTTGCGGTGTATGGCTTTTATTTTCTCTGCAATAAGGTTACCTTGAAGGCAATAAAGTGAGAGCTGGAGATAATCGCATTGTTTTGATTTGTAAAGTCACAACAGGCAAACTAAATGTATAATATACTACAATCAACGGGTGTATATTAATACTTTTGATTTCCAAGCACAACACTAACAATCGAAATATCAAATTTCCCTAAGCCGAAAAGCTGGTGGCAACTTTTCTGAAACAATTCTTATTATTGAGTCTATTTTATTCATTTCAAAAATTGAAGAATCTAATTGTGTTTATCCAGGTGTTTATTTCAGTTTAAGAAAATTAATAACAGGCACAGGTAGAAAGCAAGGCTATTAAAAGTACGTTTTGCTTGCATTGGATTCTGGCAGATGATCCAGAGAATTAAGCCAGTTTAAAGATCTGCTACTGCAGCAAATGCCGTTAAATAATGCAGTCATTTAATTGGTCTTTTTAATTTCCTACTTATTAGGTGGTGTCAAATGTTTAGTACAAATCACTTTTAAGCAAAAAATGCTGTTTGGTAATGCTGTTTCATTATGTGTGAAGCGCCAAAGTATTTGCTGATTGTTTTGGTGTGGAAATAGAAGATAGCAAAATACACTAAGAAGACATTGCGAAGAAAAGCTTACATAAACAACTAGCAAACATATTAATACCAAAAACAAGGTTTTGATGATTGAAGAGAACTCAGAGGTATATCTAGGGAGCAGAAAGACTTTCAGGGATATGAATGGCTTAGAGAACCATGAGAGTTTTTAATCCAAAAATCGCTTCTTAATAGAATTTTCTAATCAGGTTGAGGACGCAACAATATCACACATAAAGCGATTAAACCTAATATGGCACACGAAATCAGGACTGGATTTGATGGTAAATTCAAGGATATAGATACCAAAAAAAACTTAAAAATCATCTCCATACGACTGGGTGAGGATTTGGAGATCGAATTAGAGTAAGGATTCTAGCATTCCGCCCTCAAAATGTGATAATTAAGAAACTTTCGTTGGGCACTGAAGCATGTATAGTTTAAAAAGGAAGCAAGTTAGTTAGAAGAATAGGCTTGTGCGGGATTGGCCTAGGTTTGCTGAAATACATGATTTCTTGGGTTTTCAAATGGAATATTTGAAATCTCTGGAATTATGTTAACTATTAAGAAATTATCACCGAGGCATGTTGTTTCCTTGCTGATATATTCTGTAGTATTTTCAAACGATTAGTTGCAAAAAGCAAAGTTTCCATCAAACACTGGTGTGCAGGGATTTGGCGAAAAAGGCTCCAACCAGTAAATAGTGTCGTGTTATGTCGTGTTCCTCTATTGTGACTATATAAAATTGGACTTAAATACTGAAGATGTCCTCTATGTATCAATTATGAATTGAATCGTCTCCAAATTTTCTACAATTCAGTAAACAAATTATTTTGGCAATGAAAAATGAACAGGAACAGCTTGTGTAATGATTTGAAAGTGGAAATAACCCAGCCGAAAGCCGATGATGCAGATGCAACAACGTACAGTCACAACAATGTCGTGATTAGAGTTCTAAGGTTCGCCACCACGAATCAGTGACGCGCAAACAAAACACAAATGCGCCAATTCATGGGTAAATCTTGGATCAGTCTAGGATAATGTTTGTATCCATCGGTTGCAACAGAGCTTTTATCCAGAAGCTCTTCACATCCCACTGTATCCTCGCTTTTACCGCTGAGAAAGTTCCATTTGATCCATATATCCAAGTTGAACTCGGATAAATTTTTAAAGCGGGGGCGTTTTTTCGATTAAAGAAAAATTCGTTTTTAAAAACAATTGAAAAGGCTCCCAAAGACCCCTTTTAGCGACTCAAAAGCAACACCCATGAAGCAGTTTCGCGTGCTAAATTGACTGAAAATAAATTCAAGCCAAAAGTTAGACGTTTATCGCAGAATCTAAGCTCAAAACCTAGCAATGTGAATAAGTAAAGTTTAATCTTTATTCCTATTGAAGTTCAACATTATGCATGCCGGTTTAAACACAACTTCGCGCGAATATGTGCCCAGCTCCTGCAACAAACAACCATTTTGCAATATAAAATGGGTAAAGTTGGCTTGAAAGTCAGCGTTTCAAAGAATTGAGAAAAACACTAAACAGGCACCTGGCGTTCAAGGTTAGTTTATTGACGAGCAGTTGATAGAAATTTTATTACCAAACGAGTAATTCAAACGACTCTTATAACACGATTGAGCATTGAGCTTGTACACCGGTAGAAATGTTAGCTGATCAAAACAAGCTTTAACTTTACTTGGTTGTTGGAGTTTACGTTGGAGTATTAAAATACTCCTTCAACAAACAGAAAAATCCAAGACCTTTTCAAAGTAAACATAAAATCAAGGTTCTATCACGTTTACAAAACTTTATCCTGGGAATCATTTCCGGTAAACTTGAACTAAGTGAGCAAAGGATACTTTCAGAGTGGTTGAGACGAGTTATCAACAACAAAACAAAATGGGATAAATCTGAAATGAGACGGCTTTAACTTTCAAAAGACGTAACTACTTACAGCTCTTGGGAACACAACTCCAGGTGCCAGAAAACCCCTTTGCACTCGTGCTATCATCACTAACGAATTTTGCAGTAATACTGTGTCCACTTGATTTCCAGTGCAAATCAGAACCTTCTCCGCATACTCTAGGTTTTGTCAGATCTACACCCGACTTTTGTGGGTTGAGTGTACTGCCATCGGTTGACGGTCCATCGAAAAATACGAGGTAATCAAATGCACAGGTTTTGTCGAATTCGATGCTTACTTTAGGTAATGATACAGTCACGTAATGATAATACGGACAGTGTATTATCCAGACGCAATTGGAACTGTCTGGGTAATTCAACGGATAGTTTGGCGTGCTCAGATTGCCACTCTGAGCCCCAGCGTAATTTCCACCACAAACTGCAAAAGCTGCGAAGAGAGAGAAAATATTGAGTATTCCAGATAGCTGCATTTGTATCGAGGTCGCGCGGAGTGCTTAACACGTCAGTATCACTTGCCGCGCAACAGAAAATGCCGCTGTTACCAAGCAGGTTCCCGTACTCGGCGCTCTTGACAATTTCACCTGTTGCCCTGTACGTTGAATGGCTTCTTGCCTTTGCCGCATTCAGGGCTCTGCGCCGATACACAGTCACCGAGTGTAGTGTAACGCCACTTGCGATTTATGTGCGAGGCTTGCTCGTGTTTGCGTCACAGCGTCAGCCTTTCATGGGAAAATCGAAGCGGAGTAGCAAAGCTTGACCTCATCGAAAATAGCAACGATGATGAACAGGTCAGAGATAAAATGCAAAAGAGGTTGCAAAACAACAATGTTACGCGTAATGAGCATTATTTCGAAATTATTCTTTTGTGCAAACAGTTGGTTAAATGTAACCACAACGTGGAAACAAAAATCCGATATTGAAAAAGGTTCTTTATATTAACCGAAATGGGGATGAATTGATTCATTTCTTGAAATCCGCCAAATCTGGAAAGCCAGCAATTTGAGCGATCCCTCTGAAAAGCATCGGGTTATCATAACCTAGAGTTCGAAAATGAAGGGGTGGGGGGGGGGAGAAGGCCAGACGATTGGGTTGATAAACATCTCGCCGTTTGCTTTTTAAAAAAACCAGATAACTAAGGCAAGTCTGGGATAGTAACAAACGAATATAAACCTCATACAAAATTGTTAATTAATGAGCATTAACTCGGCCGCAACATGACAAAACAGCCTAAGGATATGGGCCTGAAAAGGGATTACCCGCGGTTGTGTTAATTTAAAGTTATGTCGAGTTTCGCAGAAATAGCGTAAAGAAATCACGAGTGTATATCTGACAACATAACAAAACTCAATAATAATAGCGAACACAACTTCAGCAAGCGAGACACACTAAACTCATTACAGTCACATGATGTATAACCGCTTTTGCGGAACAGGAAGCGGATGTAGATACGAATCAATATAACAAAAGATAATTATTGTTCAACAGTCCCCCTTGATGAGTATCTTCTCTTAGTCCTTTAATCTAAGACCCATCAAGTTTCGCAATTTTTTAAACTTTTCTTTAGGCAGCCCTTTAGTAAGGATATCTGCAATCCTCTTGATCTTAAAAATCCATTTGCAGCCAACAACATTCTTGTCAGGTGGTAAATCAACTAGCTCCCAAGTGTTGTTCTTGGTTAATGATTCATATTCACTGTCAATGGCGTCCTTCCACTGTGTTGCGAATTTACTGTTCAATGCTTCTTGTAGACTTTTAGGCTCTTCACTGTCCTGCACTGCAATATTTGCACAGTCCAAATCTTCATGTTGCCACCATTCACCCGTTATACTTCCTAATCTTTCAGGAGCAACTCTGTTTCTTTGAGGTCTTTGATGCAGTTCTTCTGGTACAGCATTTTCTTCTTCTTGATTCTCTGCAAGTTCTTCATTATCTTTACTCTTGTTGGCATCTTGTACGGCCTTGAAATGCAAAGCATCAGACGATAAATCTTTCTTGTCAGTAGTTAACAATTCTGTTAATCCCTTTTCATTGTCAAACAGTTTGTGTTCGAAGGAATTCTCCAGAAATATGACATCACGACTTCTTATCATCTGCTTTGTTTCAGGATTGTACAACTTGTATCCTTTACAGCCAAAAGGGTAACCAACAAAGATACAATGCATAGACTTTTTGTCCAGTTTGCTTCTTTTTTTGGTCTGGCACATGGACAAAAGCATTACAGCCAAATACTTTGAAATGGCTTACATCAGGTTTCTCATCATACCAGCACTCATGTGGTGTTTTCTCTTTCAAACATGATGTTGGGCTTCTGTTTCTGATGTAATTTGCTGTAGACACAGCCTCTGCCCAAAAACTCAATGGAAGATTACCATGATGTAGCATTGACCTTACAGTTTCTATGATTGTTCGGTTCATGCGTTCAGCAACGCCATTCTGCTGTGGTGTGTAGGGAACCGTGACTTCGTGCAGTATTCCACGACTTTTGCAATATTCAGCAAATTCTTCTGAAATGTATTCGCCTCCATTATCTGATCTAAGCTTCTTTACTTGTTTTCCAATCAGTCTTTCAGATGACTCAACAAATTCTTTAAATTTATCCAGTACTTCACTCTTCTTCTTTAGCATGTACACAGTAGTGTAGTGAGTACAGTCATCTATGAAGGTGACAAAATACCTTGAACCTCCCACTGAAGTGACATTCATGGGACCACACACATCACTGTGTATGAGTTCTAAAGGCTGAGTATTCTTCTGTGAAAAGTTCTTTGAAAATGGTTGGCGACTTTGTTTCCCATAGGCACAGCCTTCACATTTTCTATCAGTTTGCTCATTTGGTTTCCAGCTCAGCCCATCTACCATAGATTTGTTGTGCAGCAGCTTCAGGTTGTCATAACCAAGGTGTCCATAGCGATAATGCCAAAGTGCATTGTCATCATTTGCAACAGTTGATCCAAAACAGCATGATTGCTCGGGATCTACATTCAATTTATACAGTTTTCCATGCTTGTGGCCTATACTGTATACATTGCCATTGATGATTATCTTGCAATGTTGACCTTTGAACTGCACTTCTGCATCTTTGTCAGTGATAGAAGGCAAAGATAGCAAGTTTTTCTGTATTTTTGGTACGTAAAGTACATCTTTCAGGGTTGCATTCACCTTGTCTTTGCCATCATACAAAACAAGCTGCAATTCCCCTTTTCCATAAGCAAAAATTACAGTATCATCAGCAAGCTTCACTTCTATTGGTTTCTTGAATGGTGTATATCCATACATCCCCTTTTTAACAGGGGTCATG